ACAATTGTCTGGCTGTATTGATAGCATTTAGTATTAGATGTATGATTTTTTCTCGATGTGGCGTGCTTTGTCGCAATTATAAAAAAAGTCATTTGATACTCATTTTTATTCTATTATGTCGGAATTATATATTGGTATTATTAAAATAAATAATAAAATCACATATTTGAATAAATTCAGCTCAACTACGTGTAACTACTTCATTGACTTCACTGCTATAACATTCTATTTTATTCAATGTTAAAAAGACTTGACGTTGGTCTTTGAAAAAATTTATCAGAATTTATATATGAATTGTTCTTTATATCTATGTTAAATGATATTCTCCTTTTGTTCGTTTTATCTATCTATATAAAGAAGAATATCAGTTTGTTTGCCTGTTCTCTAGAGAAAATGGCGTTTCGCACTGGCTCGTCATTCTGAACTCCCGTAGCGGATGTCTCTTACGACCTTCCGACAAAACATTATTCAAAACTTTCGTCAAGGATGTTGGAATGACAAGATCGAATTAAAAAAGCAGGATGTAGGATGAATGTGGGTGGCCGGGTGTCGAGTTTGGGGTGGATGTGGGTAGCTGGGTGTGGGTGTGGGTGTAGGTGTCTATCTTCTCTTAACCAACACCCACATCCGGTTTCTCATCTGCCAAATATGCACTATCAAAGTTTCCCGACCAACACCGGGTACTCTCGTTACTATAATATAATAATTAAAAACATGTGTAAATCGTATAGGCATGATCAAATAGCTTTTTTTATTTAAAAGAAAATAAATATTATGCACAAAATATCCATATTAACAAATAAGATGAAAGAATTCTTAAAAAGAACTTGACAACAAATGTTAATGATGGCAAGATTGTAGACATTATTTTTTGCACTTCGGAACTGAGGCCCAACAGTGCTCATCGAGTACATAGCCATACTCTCCCTTAGATGTTTCAATATGATACCATTTTTTTGTTTTATGTGATAGTATTTCGATTTTAAAGCAATCACATGGATAGTATTGATCAGCGCGGACATACATAAACGGTGGACAATCCATTGATGCACACGTGTGAGCAGCAGTCACTTGACGACACATAGCTTCACCACCCTAATCATATAAAAAGTAAAATATTTCAGATGTTAACATATTCGATTAAGACAAACACGTTACCTCACATAGTACCGCACCAACAATTAAAAGCATCAACGACACGATAATAAATCGATTCATTTATAATTTAACTTGTCTGTATCGTAATAATATAATTTTATTCGTTTCGAAATAAGTAATTTTATAAACTCGGGGCATCCTTTTATACAAGAATGAAAACGTGACCTTGGTAATTCCACACGGAAGTATTAATATGTTGGAAAGTTTACTTCATAGACATTTTTCCCGCGGATGTAGATGACATATAGTTAATCACGAAAAAAACATCATATGATTAAGACGGAAGAAAGAAGCGCTTAGTTTGCGTAGTATATTCATCATTTTTCAATTTGGATAAAAATCTCTGTTATCATTTTTCCAGTTTAAAAGATTGTTTTATATTCGTCATACACTGTTATTCAAAAGCAAAGTCCAATCATTCTTTGAATCGATTGGTCTATATGTGAAACTAATTCTTCTTCCGATTTAATCATTCTATGTACTTCCGAGGAATATCTAAAAAAGACATTTTTATTTCTACGTTATGATTCACGCATTCTCTGTTTTCTTTACTTTTTTCGTTTTTGATATTATCTTGCACTGTTAGGACTGTATGGTCACAGTTTTTAAGCAAAATATAAAAAAAGAAGACATTTTAATATTTATCAATGCTTGTGGCAGTCGGTTAAGAAATTTAATTAAGTTTGGAATGATAATATAATAACAAAATGAAAATAATATTATGTTAGTTTTAACTTTAATGGATGGAATTATTTTTTTTTATTCTGTTTTTCTTATCTATATTTGTCTTATTATATATTAAACGAAAAAAAAATGAATCTTTTATAGATAAGTTTAAATTATTTTGCATTGTAGGCCATTTATTTTACATTAAAAACAGAATATATCCTTTTTTTTCTTAGATAGCAACTTTTTTCACATGCGATATTCTCATTAATTTATTAGTTTCGTGCTTATTTTCTTTATGATTTTTTTCGTTAAGGGATAACATATTGAATGAATTCGATGAAGAATAATATAAGTTGAAAATATAATATTTTATTAAAAGTTTCAATATCCATATATGATTTAAAAGATTCAGATTTAAAGAAATACTTATTTTTGATATATATGAAGTAGTTAAATGAATGAAATTGATATTATTGTCAAAAAAGAAAAAGCAATTATTGATATAGTTTCTTAATCTTTCTCGAGATTCAGTTTTTTCTTCTTAGTATTCTCTTCAAGAGAGTGATTATTTCGTTTTGCTGTCTTTTTAGTTCTAGACGAGTTTTTTGTATTTTTTTTTGTAATACTTGATGGTGATAGTTCAGAATTCGTTTTATTTTAAAATATAGAAAAAAAGTGCTTTTATTGATTGAAAGAATCAGTAAGTATGCAAAAATATAAAATCGATACACAGTTCAGATATACGGCGCGATGAAGAGTATCACCACAAATTATTAAACTAAAAACACATCTTCACACTACACCATCATGCACGCCCATCTTCACCCACACCCACACCCTCAAGATGACATCGAACAATAAAAGGTTCTAGAAGGTGCGTGTGGCTGTATCTGGATGTCTCATTTATACACTAGTGATTTTTCTTCATCAGAGTATTACTGGTGTTTGTATAATGATATATTGTGTGTTGGTCACTGAATTCATTCGGAATAGTCGAACCTCTGCATTTAATAATCGCTACAATCGTTTGAAAAAAGAAACCGATCGTCTGCTGATTTTATAATTGATTATAATAGCGCTATCTGAAATATCATTTAGTATTAATTCTCTTTATAAGCATGTAATCAATAGAGTAAAAAAAGATATTCTATGGAAAACTGTTAAACATTTAGTTGCAAAAGATTACTCGGTGTTGTATATTTATATGTACATGTCAAGTGAAAAGAGAAAATACCGAATGCTATTAATTATCAAATATTTATATCAAAATCGTATTAGAAAAATAAATAGTTTTATTATCAAAGCTGTTACTAATCCACTGGCCGAATCGAGAACTGTTTATGAGTAACCCAAAAATGTAACAATTTAAATTTACTATCGTATTACTTAAGTTCATATTGTACATTTATTGTGATGTACACCTTTCGCTTTGTGCATTATCTTTGATTGTAAATGAACTACCTGAATAGGCCAATAAATACATATTTGTACTGGCAAAATTTACGTTGCAAAAAAGTATTACATATTACTCTTCCATTTGATATAGGCAAAAAAGTACTGACACAATCAAACATATAAAAGTAAAATATGCAATTATAGTGTAAATGTCAAAATTCAAACGATTGATTCATCAGAAACAAATGAAAAAAATAAGAAAAATAACTTTCGACATTTCGTGAAAAGGTGACTGACTTATTACAGTTCTACATGAACTATGGCAGAAAATTCTACGCAATTGACCTATACTGATTAGATTGGTATTTATATCGCAACAAAAAATAACATTTTCATATTATAACTTTACTTTTATTTTCAAGCTGTATAAATCTCAATCAGTCAAATAATGCGATATTTATTATTGATATTGGTTATTGCAGTACTAATTGTTGCTGATTTTGCTGAAGAAATGGATAAACAAGAAATAGAAGGTATGTTACAGTGTTGAAAATAATAGTGCGATTAGTAGTGTCACACATTTGTAAATACCGTTTTTTTTTATCTTCTTAGGACTACTGGATTCTGCTATTAATAATCAGTTTGAATCAACTTACGTTAAACCTATGGATGGAACAGATGAACGCTCTTCTTTTGTACAGTAAGTAATACTCGTAGAACTTAACTTTTGCTATTTCATGTAAGATTATTTTCTGTTCGTGTATATGCATAAAAGCGTGTTACGAGTAGTCAGATTTGAACCTATAGATTCAACTGATACTACTAAAGTAAGTATTTTTCTACAAATGCATGGAATAGTCCTTATCTTTCATCTTATTTTTCATTCCTTGTGGCAGATTACTTTATATTTTAGATACCGAGTGAAAAGAGCGCGTGGTTGTGGGTGTGGTAGAGGTGGTAGTAGTGGTGGCAAACAACATACGAAAAATACACGTCCATCAACTCAACAAAAACATGAAAAAGGACAAACAAGAAAGGGAGGAGAAAAAGGTGACGCAAGACGTCCATATAGAAAATAATCGGGAAAGAATAACTTGTATTCTATTGAAAAATAAGAAAATCTTTTTTTATATTGATCAATAAAAAATAAGAATTGGTAAAAATAATACGAGTTCTACAATTCAAAGTATGATAAATAACTTTGAGGGTGATGAATGTAGGTGCGGATGGGTGTAATATACGCAACGACTTATTTACAATTTATCTTCATACACATGATACAAAATGAATTTTAATAGCTCATTTCTTTATTTATACTGAAGAATTTACTAGATAACATAAACAAGCAAGAATCCCTTAATGAAGAAATAAGCGTATAAAACATGTTTTATTTTAAATTTATAATTTTCATTAGACTGAACAGCTTGTAATTAATCTTAATTACTTGATAAGAAAAAGTTTGCACGTATTTTTAATTATTTAATAAATCTTTCAATTGTGAGAATGTTAATTTCATAGAAGCATTGCTACAAGAATCGAAGAAAAATCTGAATAATACAATATTTAAAAAAAAAGGAAGAAAACGTAATAGGTCGAATCAACGATGCAAAATATCGAAAAAAACAGAATATACCTATGAAAAGCATGACTCATATTTTTCACGTGTTATACCCACTTCATTAGGGAGTCAATCATTTTTTCTAAGGTAAATGACGAAATATTTATCGTGAAAAAAACCAACTTTTTACATATATATATTCAATTTTACATTACATATGATGAAAAATAAAATGAATGGTGATGAGCAACAAACTGATATTGAAAATGAAGAGACTATAATTATTATTTGTTTTGACCCAAATAATGAATTCAATGATCATATAGAAGATTTAAAACAACAAATCAATGATTCAGTTATATTCTATAGTGAACTTGAGTTATGTATTAATTTTATTAAATCAATTGTCGATAAAACAATATTTCTGATTATTTCTCCTTCATCTATTTCTCAAATGAATAAGTTTACTCAAATTAGAAATATTTTTTTATTTAATGTATCAAACAATTCGAATGAATGTTTATCATTTAAGGATTCAAATATAGTTGGTATTTATGATAAATTTGATTTATTACTTACAGCAATTACAAAGCAAATCAATTTAATTGAGACGAAAATGTCTCGATGCTGTTTTTTTGATGAAATTCAATATGAAAATAAAGATTTATCAAAACAATCGAATAGTTTTCTATGGCATCAACTTTTTCCGGATGTTCTCTTACATTTATCATCTGATCAACAGTTTGAAAATGTAGATCAGAGTATCTTAGAACAATTTCCATGGATTAATGATTATAAACCAAACGAAGCGGTAGGATTGTTTATGAAATATCCATCACTTCGAGAATTTATTAACAAAGCTCTGAAAAACGAAGATATTAAACAACTTTATATGTTACGATATTTTCTCAGTGATTTAATACAAAATCTTCAATTTGGTAAAGAAAATCGAATTGTTTATCGAAGAATGATCATATGTCGTAGTGAATTTAATCAAATACAAGAACATAATGGTAAACTTATTATGATGAAAGAATTTCTAATAGCAAATACTGATCGATCATCTTGCCATGCACCATCAACAAAACAAATTTCAGTGCTCTTTGAAATTGAATTGAACAAAAATTCAATCTTTGCTGATCTTGAGTTATCTGATCAAGAAACGATTGTATTTATTTTAAATTCAACTTTTCGAATAGATAATATTCAACAGAATGATCAATTATGGATTATTAAATTAATTTCAGTTAATGATGGACAAATAATTAAACAAAAATATATTGATGATACACGTCGTCAATTTCCAGATTTAAGTATTTCAATTATTTTTGGTAAATTAATTTGTGATATGAGTCAATGGAATCAATCACAGGCATATTTTGAATATTTATTAAATAATCATTCACATACGGAAGATTTAGCATGGATTGAACATGGTCTTGGTCAAACTTATCATTGGAAAGGAGAATGGAATGAATCAAGAATATATTATGATCGTTCGTATGAACGAATGATGAAAAACGAACCAGTTCGTATTAGGGATTCTGCTGTTATACTCTCTGATATTGGTAAAATATTATATTTTCAAGGACAACTAGAAGAATCCTTTAATTTTCATCAAAAAGCATTAGCAATTCACATGAAATATTATTCTCCTTATCATCCACATATTGCTATTAGTTTATACAATATTGGTTTGATCTTTCGAATAAGACAAAAAGAGGATGAAGCATTAGTCTTTTTTCAACAAGCATTATTGATTCAAGAGAAATATTATGATGCATTTCATGTAGATATTGGTACAAGTTTAACTCAGCTTGCGTTATGTTTAACGAAGGAAAAAAGATATGACGAAGCTCTTAATTGTCATCAACGAGCTTTAGCAATATATGAAAAATATTACCCATTAGGCCATGTATCGGTTGCACTTACCCTTAATTATATGGGTTATATGTTTTATCGGCAAGACAAGTACAACGAAAGTTTTACTCCTATTCAACAGGCAATGATACTGCAGAAAAGATTTTATCCAAATGGTCATATTGATATAGCGATGAGCTTGCTCGATATGGGAAACTTAGAGTATGACAAAAAAAATTACGATAAATCATTAAAAATGTATGATCAAGGGCTGTTAATGTTTAGAAAATTTAATTTATCGAATCACATATCGACTGTTGCTCTTTTGGAGAATATTGGTGAGACACAAATAGATGAAAAAAATGATTGTGATAAAGCTCTAGATTATTATCAACAAGCTCTTAACATACTCGAAAAATATTATCCGTCGTATCTAGCTCATATCGCTGACATCCTTAATGATATGGCTTATGCTTTTTTTAAACAACGGAAACTTGATAAAGCACTCGACTTCTATCATCGATCAATAAACCTACTCAAAGAATATTATTCATCTAATCATGTTGAAACAATTTCCTTTTTAAGAAACTATGATAATATATTGGAAAATGATGAATTCATTAAACATCACGAACAAGTATTAATATCTCGAAAGGAAAACGGTACTACACGAGGTAATACTTGCATCGGAAGCAATTACAATGGAATCAGTCACGTACATCGCAGACAAAATCAATTTGATGAAGCTTTTGATTTCGCTCAACAATCAATAAGGTTTACAGAAAAATCTAATCCAACTAATTATAGAAGGATTACTGATAATCTTAGCAATATTAGTGAAGCTTTAATGCATCAAAAGAAATTTGATGAAGCATTTGATTTTGAACAGAAAGCATTAAATATTCTAAAAACTCATTGTCCTACCAAAATTATCAAGATTATTGAGAGTTTAAATCAAATGGGTAATCTTCGACGAAAACAAGGAAAAAATAATGAAGCTTACGATTTGTTTCAAGAAGCTTTGACAATTTATGAGAAAAATTCCTCATCTCTCGAAGCAGATATTCCATATACTCTTACGAGTCTTGGTATTATTAAATATAATCAGGGAGATTATGATGGATCTTTGAACTATTTTAATCGAGCAGTAAATATACGCAAAAAATTTTATTTGACTAATTGTAGTCAAATAATTCTTAGTCTAAATTGGATTGCATTTATTCATTATCAGACACAATCGTATGATCAGGCAATTGAATTTTATGAACAATGCTTACAAATTGCTAAAGCCAATGCTGTTCCAGGGCAGTTAACTACTGATGAGTTTCTTGGGAAATTAAGTGGTATAAAACGAGCTCAACTTCAGTATGAAAGTTCCCTAGCATACGAACTAAACTGTTTGTTAATGCGTGAAAAATTTCTACCACCCAATCATCAAGATATTGGTAAAAGTTTAAGTAATATCGGTTTATGTTATGAACATCTTAATCAACGTAAATTGGCACTTGATTATTATAAACGAGCATTATTCGTTTATGAACAATGTCCATTAGCTACGCATGATCGATGGACTATAGAATCTAAAATTCAGGAGCTTTCTATAGAAATAAATCAATTCAACATTAAAATCTTTAGGATATGTTCAAAACAACGATAATAAAACAGTACAGACATTAAACACGAATTTGATTAAATAAATTTAATAAAAGTCATGAAACTATATATTGAGGGCAGGTGTGAAGATTTGTTGTTAGTAGTTATTTAAGCTTTTCATACACGATTTAAGGGTGTGGACGTATATACAACTTAAATTATAGTTGAAAGAAGATCTTAAAAGAGTGTATTAAGAAAAAAGGCATTTATATTTTAATTCTTTTTCTGTTTGAGGTATAAAGTACTAATAATGGTCTTGAAGGTGGGTGAGGATGTAGGTGCAGATCTTCTTCAACCTCCACTCACCCACGCCACACCTTCAAAGCGGCTAGAAGAAGTTTACTTATCTTAGAACAATGACCGCCGATTTCTTCCGATGGAAAATTAAAACCATCAGAGGAGGTTTGACGAGATTTCAATGATAATTTCATCATGTGTATGAAAGAAAATAATAATACCTGTTTGATATTATACGAAGGGATTTATTGAGAGTGCGGGTATGAATAACTTTTCACTCTATTCACACCCCACCCATCTTACACTCATCCACATCGTAAATATTAGTTTATATGAACAATGATCTTCTTTATACAGATACAAATATGTAAAGAAATAAAAAAGTTAATTTTGAAATAGTGACAGAAAATCTGTTCTTTATTAAATGAATGAATGAATACACAATATTAATCAAAAAAACTCAATACGAATAAAACATTTAAGCGTGCGTAGTTAATGGAACGATTTGTCGTTGATGTCTTTTCCAAAAGAACAAATTGCGAAATTTTTGTTTTAATCCAGGTAATGCTAATAGAGTAGCATAAGGCAAAACAATTGCAGGAACATATGTCAAACTTGCAATATATGGCATGATAATATTACTGCCAAAATCCGGATAACCACATGATTGTACAAGAAAAATGATAACATAAGGAAGATCAAATATAAGATAAGTTGCAGATACAAGTGTAAGTTGAATAGTCATTTTTCGACATTGACGCCATGTTACTGCTTGTTGTAAACGTTGTTTTTGTCTAATAAATCGTAATAAAAGAGAAATACTAAAAACAACAATAAGAAGTATGGGAATTGTGTAATCTACGAATGAATCATATACAAGAAACCAATTCGGAATTGTTGCATAAAAGCACATCTCATCACAAAGGACAAGTGTACTGTCAAAATGCTCATCACATGGATAAAGAAAAATTAAATAGAAATATAATAGTGGTGCATACAAAGCGAAAAATATGAGTGGAATGTAATGAATAAGAAAGAGTTGATATGGAGTTCGAACAAAATTTGAATGAAATACAAGAATATGTCTTTCAAATGATGCCCACATCATTAAAAAAACACCTCCATACCATATTCCATCGTCTACCAATTGCCAAAAACGACAAAGAGTAGGAGAAAAAAGTGATACATATCCAACACGATCATAATTTAATGTTAATGATAAATCAAATGTAATTCCAAGAAAATTGTAGAACAATAAGATTATAATGACATGATTATGAAGAGCTTTACGTGCAGATTTTTCAAAAAGAATATGGTAGCCAACAAATAAATAACAAGGAATAGACAAGATTTGACCCAATACGAATAGTGAAAACGAGACTTTTGGCCAGTATGATGGAATATTGGTTAATGTTGAAGGAAAACTTCCCATTTTTTAAAGAAAATATCTATAGAATTTCAATCATTAGTTTTCTTAGATTTATATAACTGTTACTTACCGAAATTTTATGCTAACGAACAATTTAGTCTTGTAAAAACACTATACTAATCAATACTAAGGCAGAAAATTTGACAAGATCGTACTTTTTCTAATGCGCTTCTAGTTTATACGTCCGCATTTCATATGAATACATGCAAAAGTAGATTGCAATGACAGCATGCATATATATATATATATCTCATTATATTATAATCAAAAAGAATGTTCTATAGGAATAATATATTCATTAGACTGAAATAAAGGATAAAATTAGAAAATACTTAGAGTTTTTTTCTATGAGAATAAATATCACAATTCAAGCAATGTAAATTGCATACTGTCGTAATGACGTAGTTCTCTCACTAAAAGAATTGTCAGCGAAATTGATATATCTGTCATGATCTGTAATGTCAATTGCTACCAATTTATCGATCTACTCATGATTTAGTATTGACTAATATTATTTTAATTTTCAAACTTTTGATTAGTTTTTATATCTTTAAAGATAAATGAAGACGGAAGAAAATATGTGCTTGAGTAATTTGAAGTGCGCTCTTTATTATCATACATTTCTCAGTCCGTTCGAAATAAGGAGAATATCAGAAAAAAAACTAACATCATTGATAAAACTCAATGACTCTTATCAAACCACTAACTCTCCATAATATTTCAATTCAAAGTTCAGGTAACATGTGTCTGATGATATATCATCAATATAGTTCTGAATATGCTACATCCTCGATAAAAGTAATGTCTATTGTAAATAGTATGGTCTCCTAATTCAGTAGAGATTTGCGAGACCAACCTTTTTAGGTCTCGGTCATAGTTCCGATAAAGCTTTTCTTATGATCCCGGTCCTAGTCCTGATCATGTCTAATATCGTCCTATAGACAGTTAATCCAAAATTATTCAATGAATTTCTAAAACAATTTTCTAATACTCATTTTCAAATTTGTTTAGTCGACGATTAGCACTTTTTTGTTTTCTTTTTCTTGAATAAGGTCAACATAGTTAAGGTCATTCTATAGCCCCAGATTCAAGTGTTGGTCTCGGTCCCTGTAACTTTGAATTTTTTTGGTCCCGCACATCTCTACTCCCGATGGATATAACCTTAACTCTAACATAAAGTATATCTAATCCTAATGCGTGAAATAGCGGTAGACTTTAATCAGCTTAAATATTATCTAGAGGGACTCTATCCGAGACAGATCCATTTATATTCACATAATTTTCGATGAAATTGAGTTCTACGTCTAATTAGATTCTCACTCGCTGCTGCTGATCTAGTAACGTGTGAATACTTATAAGAATGTATTATAAAAACTATTGCTTTGATCTATTTTATTTAGGATAAAAATGTTATTCGATGAATATTTACCTTTTTTAATTGAATAGAAAGAAACTTGTTTTTCTCTCTTGTTAAAATAATCTCTTTATTTTTTTTTTGTTGATAGTGCATCTCATAGATGCGGAATTACATTTTAAAAATCTGTCGTAAAGATTAAAGTAATGAATAAGAATTGATTACTCTTCAAATGCGACATGCGTAAACATTGAAACTTTCTATTAATTATTCTTATTTGACAATTCTTATAGAAAAAATATAAACAAACGGAGCATAACTCATCATTATGATGGATAAATATCACAAAGAGAACAATTTGATGATGTTTTTTAAACTATTAATTATATTAAAAATTTGATTATATTCATCTTACTATTTTTTATCGTCGTTACAATCATTCAGAAACTTCTATATCTTGAGTTTTTCTATCAATTATATCATGAAATAAAATAGAAATTACTTCGATTTAGAGACTACATTACAACATCTTTGTTTCATTCGTATTCAGTACACTCATTTATTTAATAACAAAATCTTATTTAAAGAAAAAAGCATTCCCTTTTTTTTGCATTCATGTGCTGTACTCAAAGTAACCGATTGTTGGAAAGTTTAGTTTTTTCGCCGCTTAGTAACCAACAAGCAGTTTTTTTACGAATGTATTTGATATCATCATTAATGGTAAGTTTACAATAAAAATGTTCGTTGTTAGTTTCGATTCTATAAAAGACTTTAATTCCACAAAAGTTTATTTTCATCATATTTATTAAATTGCGAATATTATCTTGTTCCTCTTTCGCGGTATAGTAATCATTTGAAGAAAAACCATCATTATCAGTTACTAACACACTTATAAAAAGAAATGTTAAAACAAGCGAATCAGCAAAAAGAACGAGAAGAAGATAAGATTTACCTACAGAATATTATCTTGTCTGCACATCTCAAATTACTTCTATGATGATCTCATTAGTAATTTTTAAAAAATTTCTAAAATTATGTGCAACAGATTGACATTGCCTTCGATATTGATTTGACTTGTACCAAGTATTCATTGTATTATGGTAATACTTCTGCTTGATAAGATTTTATTTTTAAAATGTGAGTAGAGATGTACCGAGCCCTGACCGAGCCTCTCGGGCTCGGGTGATAGAATTGATGTGAGAGTGGGTGGGTGTGGGTGAGTGCGGATACTATCCTTTTCACTCTCACTCACTATTTTCATCCATATTTTTACCCACACTCTTACTCACACTCTCACCCATACCCAAGATTTATTATTATACAGAATGAAAGTAAACTTATCCAAGTTCTAATTTTCTTTATAGTCAAAATGATATGTCGTACAAAGGTTGGTTGTACTGGCTCTTACAGGAATCAAATACATAAAGAAGAAACAAACAAATAAATTTTTTTCTTTATTATTAAAAGGCCATTTTGTAACTTAATTGATCAGTGAGAAGAAGAAGAATATTTTCTTTATCCACTCAGTAATTTTATTTTAAAGAACTAGCTATTCATACCCATCCTATCCACGTATACATAGAAGTGAGAGGTGGATAGATAAACAAAAGAAAATAAGGAGAAGAAAGAGGGTGATTACAGTGCATTCCCTCTCGCTACTCGTCAAAGTGGAGAACAATAAAGAAGACGATGTAATACATCTTCTTTCTAATTGTATAAGAAGTAAATGAAAATGGAGAGCAAAATAAGAAGAAGAAAGAAGAGATTTGCATGAACAATATGATGGTTACGTGGAAAATAGGAGAGACAAAAAACATTTATAAATTAGATATTAGATGAGTTCATAGAAAAAGATCAAAAATGTTAATTTAGCAACAGCAAACCTTGGCACATGATCTTTTAACGGTGACGGTTTTCTTTCTGATAACTTTGCAACATGGTTTGCAGCAGCACACAGTTTTACGTACACAACAGCATGGACCACAGCAACAATCACAGCAAGGGTCGCAGCAAGAGCAACAACAAGGATCACAGCAAGAACAACAACAAGGGTCACAGCATGAACTACAACATGAGCCACAGCCGCAGCCACAACCACAACCACATCCACAACCGCATCCGCAACCACAACCACAGCCTGGCATATTAATAGTAATAATGTAGTGAAGAATAAAACTGAAGTAAGATAAGAACTGGTTTGTGAAACTATGAGAATAGATGCGGGTATATATATAGAGGTAGAGAAACGAACAAAATTGTTTTCAGTCAACAAAACAATTAACTACTGTTCTCACATGACAATAACTTAGATGCGCATGTGATAGAAAAATATATGAGGAGACATAAGTAACAATTTGTTACTATTCATGCAATACACTAAACATCACGTACTATTGCATATCATTTCTCACTCATGCAATACAACAAAAATATGAAATTCACACTTATTACCAATGTCTTTCCTTTGATTTGTTTTGATAGTGTAGAAAACATCTAAATTTGACTGCACTTTGATTTCGTGACCACAACTCTAAAAGGGTAAGAGTCATTTGATACACTTTGTTGTAATGAAAACAGTGCTAATCAAAAAACAAACTACATACTTTTGTTGAAAAATATTGATTCTCACGTTCTAGTACACACACATACTGTAATATCATCAAATTACGTAAATATCATAACACAATGCAACACAAAGAGAGAGCAGTATGAAAAACATATAATGTATGGATACAATAACAATAAGAATAGCCTTAATTTCATGTATCAGTTGTCAATGAATGAATGTTTCGATGATACAAAGGCGCGTAAAAATGAGAGTGTGGGTGTGATAGGGATACTCTATTCACCTAACACCCCCCCCCCTCAAGAAAAATACAAAACAAATTTTTACTTTGATTAACGAAATTTTTTTCTTGAAAACTTAATATAGAGATAAATTCTCATAGCTTCAGTAGTTGTCGTTTTTTTTCAGTAATTCCACTATAGAACCCTCGAAACCCATTGAAAAAACAATAAATTATAGTCTCTTTGAAAATGTGTATGATGGACTATTTAAATAAGAATGAATCTCAAAATCGATATTTTTGAAGAGAAAAATGTTTTTTTGACCCCGGGGCGGAAGCCCTTAAGAAATCAATAGAAGAATTTTAGATAGATTGGTTTTGCTTTCTAGTTTATAGAAATAGATGATAAATGGGAGTTTCCGAATCTCATCATTTGTCAAAGAATCGATTAATTATGGCTAAATACAATTCTTAATCGAATTTCATCACCTAAAAGCAATATACAACAAATTCGACAAACAGTCGAAAGTAAATCACAAGTTTTATATTATTCCATTAGAGAAATCATTAATACCAATTGAAGTAAATTATCTTCTACATCGTTGGAAACATGATAAAGTTCTTAAAACATTTTTTTTTATTATTCTTGATCAATTATATGGTGAATGTCCAGGATTATTTTCAGAAATTTAAAAAAAACTACCATCGAATTATATTCGTCATTGAGGATGTGGGTGAGAATATCAATGTGGATGTACGCCGGCTTGTTCTGTTCAAGTCCCACATCTACGCTCAAGATAGACTTATTTGTTTATCTTCGGTGTAACAGTAGAAGAAGAGGTTTGCTATGCGTCGTAAAAGAAAAATGCATACTTGAGTTTTTTTTCTCTACTGTTTAGACGCTTGTTATCTTTTGAGACAAGTTGGAAAAAACCAAGACGTTTATTCATAATTGCGTCAGCGTGAAGAGAAAGAGACAAATACATTTGTTAAATAGACGCTGACTTGACGTAAATAACGTTAGCAACATTTGAGGGTGTGAAGGTGGGTGTGTCTTCTTTCTATACCGACACTCACACCCACATCCACACCCCCTACCGGCGCCCATATACACTCACATCCACGCCAACATTTACACACCCCCATATCTGCATTTTATAACTGAAAACATGAAAATTCCTTTGACAATATAGTAAAAACGTGACACGTGGCGACTGCTTCTACTGACAATCGTCAATTGCGTCTTTTTTTTATAATAAACTATTGATAAGGAACAAACATGCGCATTACATAAATCATAGTTATCATGCGTAATTCTCTCTCGTTAAAACAAGTGCAATAAAGTAAATCATAAAAATACCAACAATGATTCAACCGATGTATATATATACGATCGAATATAGTGTAAAAGACACTCATTTAGTGTCCTGAGCATACGCACTTTGCCTACCTATATAATTAACTATACTAAATTTTGAGACAAAACAGTAATCTCGATCACAGAATTGTTTATCTACGATGATATTAGTAATTCTTAGATTGAGTAGATAAGTATTTAAGTGATCAAATGTGAATTTATACAATAAAATTTTAGATAATAATACAAGCACTATGTCTTGTCCTTACCTTCAATCAGATTTGCAAAATATGAAAAGCAACAGCAGCAATATTGATGAAATACCGATTCTGATAAAAACGGCAAATAGTATTACAAATGATCATGTACACGTCACAGAACCATTAAATTACACGACATACTTAGGTTTAGATTCATTATTATCTTCATTACGATGTCTTAGTCATGTTGATCGATCTAATGAAAGCAGTCTACCTGTACACGATGAACATTTTTTCATTATAATTCATCAAGGTAAATCGAAAGAAAGCTTTATAATTAATTGATGAATTCTTCTTATAGCTTTTGAACTGTGGTTTAAAGAAATCATTTACGAAATCGATTCAATTCGAGATATTTTCGGGAACAATGATGATGTTGCAGCCTTTGTTTTTGACATCAATTTACGTTTGAATCGAATAGGAAAAGTTTGGAAAATATTAATTGATCAATTACAATTACTTGAATCGATGACACCAATGGAATTCCTCGAATTTCGCGATTTCGTTACACCAGTAAGTGGATTTCAAAGTTTACAATTTCGTATCATTGAAATGAAACTCGGTTTGACCGATAAATCACGAGATGCATATAAATCAAAATATTTTATTGAAACAATGTTTAAAGCAAACAATCGAATGAACTTCAAACATCTATAGGAGAAGTTTCATTGTTACGTCATATTGAAGTAATCTATGACGCTATATTATAGCTATAGACTATTTTCTATTGACTGTTTAGCGATGGCTTGAAAAAATCTATGATGAAACATCATTTAACTTTTGCAAAGTGTATGAAAAAGCTGTGGAATCTATGATTGATCATGATAAACAAGAAAAAATTCAGGTATGAATCAAACTATTAACAATAAACTGAATCTTTCTTATATTTCTTATAAACAGAATGGCATCGATGAACAGATTACTGAAAAAGAGGCAGACAAGGCGAAATTACAATTTGATGAAATGATTAACGAAGAAAAATATAACGCACTTGTGAATAGTAATCAACGTCGAATTAGTCATAAAGCTATGTTAGCTGCGTTGATGATCGCACATTATTATCAACAACCTTGTTTTCAACAGGTATATCAAATAATTAGTTTACTCATGGATAATGATACTTTGATGACAAGTTGGCGACGTATGTAGAATAAACCTGTCTATTTTAAAAAATATTTTATAATGTTTATGCATTCTTAGATAGACATATTCTTTTGGTTCTTCGTCAGATTGGTCGAAAACCAGGTACAGGAGGTACTAATGGATTCACCTATCTCCAAGCAACACTTAAGTAAGTGAAAAAAATATAATAATAGTAATAAAATATTGCAAGATTCTCGTGTAAAAAAGTTTTAATATCATTTAAAATTGGTTTTTGATCTTCTTTTATTATAATTCATAGAATATATGCATACTGATTTTTGTCTTTTACCTTTATTTAAGTGAAAAGTATCAAGTGTTCATTGACTTCTTCAATATTTCTTCGTATCTGATACCTCGAAGATTTTTACCAGAATTTGTTGGAAATTCTGCATCACCAAGAGCAACTCTATCGTCACTTGTACTTCAATCTCCTCGGCAGATTCCTATTATGATTAAACAACAACCACATATTTCAAAACATTCATCTAACCAATATTCAACGCAATATAAACAGTTTCTTTTCTGCTTGCTTCTATTTGTTGCAGGATATTTCTTTTCGCTAATATATTAACTGGTCAGTAAAAAATATACAGATGATCAGTATATATATTGATTGGTGTGAGAGTGTGTGAAAGTGTGGGTGAGTTTAGCTCGAGTGTGGTTGTCTCTCTTCTATCTACACCCACACCCTCAAGATGGAAATTACCAGTTAAATTTAAGGTTGATGAAAAACCAAAAAGATTTTGCTTCGTTATTTTCTTATCAAATATTTATTCGATTTGTTTCATTGATTTTCAACAACAAAACTTTATTTTTTCTTTCATTTCTCGATTATTTTTTCAATAAATTTTTTTTTCTTTTCTTGAAAATAAAAATTTCATTCACAAAATTACTTCAAACTTTTGAATTCGATCATTTCCAAAATCAGCAACATAAAGATTTTGTTCATTATCAAAAGATAGACCATGGGGATAATTCAATTGATTCGGATGACCACCTAAACCATTTCCACCAACAACAATTTCACCTTCTTGTTTTCCTTCACACCAACGTATTACTCGATTATTCCATTGATCTGCTACATAGATTTGACCCAAATCATCAACAATTACTGCTTGAGGATGATACAATTGATTAAGATCTCCTCCTTGACCATTTCCTCCAGCCACAACTGTTCCTTCTTTTGCATCTCTTATCCATTTCATCACACGATGATTGTTCCAGTCTGATATATAAACAGATTGATCTTCATCAACAAAGATAAAAGCAGGAGTCTTGAGTTGATTGAGTTCATCTCCTTCGCCATTTCCACCTGCAACTACAGTTCCTTCATTGTTATATTCTCCCATTTTCCATCGGCTCACTGCTTGCTTTCCCTGATCAGAAACATAAAGAAATCTATTTCTATCCATTGTTAAACCATAACAATCAATATTCTCAATGAGAATTTGTTGCGTTTGATTCGTCCATTGAATCACTCGTCTGTTCCAACGATCAGCAATGATAATCGAATGATTTTGTTGATCAACAATCACAACTGATGGATAATTCAATTGATCCATTCGATCTCCTTGCCCGTTTCCACCTGCAATGACTTGTCCTTCTTTTGCATTATATTTCCATTCAACAATACGATGATTATATGAATCAGCAATGAAAATATTTTTGTTTTTATCAATAAAAATTCCATGAGTGAGATTGAGTTGATTTAATTGTTGTCCTTGTCCATTTCCACCAGCCACAGTGATGGCATTTTGTTTCCATTTAAGATTGTTCTTATCTAAAACAAATGAAATTTTTAGTTTCAAATATTTTACGAGTGTACAGGAGAATGTCGCATCTGTCATCCATTGATTCACTCACTTTTCATTGGTGGGCAGATACTTTGATCAGTCATTGTAACTGGATAACAAACAGGAAAATGATTACATTGTGGATGTTGAACACACGTCGTATTAGGCTGAGAACACGAATTGTCTGATGAATTACACAGTAAAAGATGAGAACATGCTAGCCAGCGAAAACCACAAATGCCTGTATCGTTATTAGCACCTATCATATGAAAGCATCCACATGCACTGTTTGTGGAACATTCACCATATTGAGGTGTGTTCTTACATATTTGAGATTTGTTTTGAACTATGAATGTGATAAACTAATATATATAAACATATAAAATATAATAAAAATCAAACCTGATATGCTAAAATATAAAATTAATGAATGTTAACAAAATGAATGACAAAAATTAATAATTATTTACCTGAGAATAATGAAAACAATATAAGAATGAATCCTGATTGTATTCATAGTTGATTTTAGAATAAGACAATATAATGAAAAAATGTGTTTTTATATCTGAGATACAGATAATAATAGCTTAAGTCAATACAATTGAAATATAACAGATGCATTCATTCACATATCAATAAGTGGAAATATGATCGTGCTTTCATTTCTTCTAATCTTTCTGATTCTATTCTGCGAAAAATACAACAACCATATTTTATTTAGAATTATGCAGCAGATGGAAATACAATAGAGAGCGTATATTCACATTCACATCCTTAATGATCTATGTCAGTTGAATTCTTCGATATAGAGAAAAAATAAGATATATTTGGAATTATTTTCTACTAACGGAACTTTGGAATAGGTCTACATTGAGAACTGCGATGATCATTATTGGAAAGAAGAGATGAAGATACATTTTAAAACTATGGATAACAAATACAATACTCTTACTAATTTTTATTTTTCAATTAAATTAAAATTTCAATTCCATTATTCATTATATTGACGAAATCATAGAATATACAAATATTCAAAAAAATAAATTATTATTGAGAGAACTGTATCTAAATTAGATAGTAAAATAAATAATTAATTTTTTTTGCTAATAATAATAATAATTAATTTAACTAGATTAAGTTACGTTAAATATTTCGTTTAACAAAAAATTTCATCATTCATTTTGAAGATTTTTGAATAAGATTATTTAGAAAACATTTGATTATCTTAATGTTTATTATGTTTATTCAAGATGAATGTGAATGTGAATAAGGATAGAAATTAAATAAAAGAATTACATGTCACATTAGATATATTATTAACTGAAACGAATAATAGAGACAATTAGAAAAAAGTATCGTATACAAGATTCACACAAAAGTAACATTTTAATATTCTTCTTTTTCACTTTTAATGACGATTTCGGTTGCTTCGATACTTGATGTACATAATAACACCTGCAATGATAGAGACAGCAAGTAGACCAAATCCCACTAGAAGATAGATCAAGCCAGGTTTTGTATTAGGTTTGTGCCACTGAGCAGTTTTTTTACTTGCTCGTTTATGATGATAACAAGTATGTTTCGAACCGATCTATGAGAACAAATAATGATAATATATATCCATAGGATAAATAAAAGTTTTCATTTAATAATACTTACAGGATACATCTCAAGTTCATTCATTGCTTTAGCGTATTTTTCTGAAGTATCTCCTGTGATTCGAGCAATGGTTTGATTACTGCTCATTACAGTTATGTCATCATTGTATTCAACAGTCCATACAGGTGCATGACACAAATATCGACTACATAAGTGTGGAATTGCTTTTGCATCAATTACCAAGCATATATTCTCGACGAAATTAATTTCTTTGTGACGTTCTGTACCAAAGTCAATACTACCTGATATTCCTATACCTAAACCAATGCATCCGAGAATGCATACAAGACACGCTATACATTCAAACATAGTCGTTATGATCTTCCTGTAATCAGAAAGAAAAACATTTTCTTTGATTAATACTTATATAATCATAATTGCTTACATATTATTCTCAGATTTCGTATTTAAAGCGTGAAATAATACAATATTATTTTAGTTTTAAACAAAAATTTCATGTCACCCACGTCTTCGTAAGAAATATTTGTTTTCCAACAGAGTCTTATGTATATATGAATTATACACACAGTGGAGCTTTATTTGCTTTTTGATAAGAAAGCGTCATTGCAAAGAAAGAAAAGTAAAGATACTCAGTGTCTGCTTATTAGTCGCTAGAAAATACCATCCTAAAGGTAAGGATCTGAGGAGTTATGTTAAGAAGAGTGGAATTGAGAGCATAAAAAAATACGTACATCTTTATTCTATTGTTACGCCGATTTTGATTTTGATTCCTACTACTGGGACGGATTACATCCATCACTATCTCTTCCATATTCTTGACCAAATGTCCGCTGTACACACACATACACATCGGTCACTTCCTATCATTTGGCCTTTCTTTATTTCTGCTCTCGCTTTCTTTCTTGACCGTTTGGCCTCGTTGATGATATATATAGTTGTTCATTGGTCATTCGTTGATATCGGTTAAATAAAGTACGAACCATCAGTTGTTCCGTTATAACTACCTCGTTGATAAAAAGATTTGTTTAAAACAAAGAAATTTATATTGTCTCCTTGTCAATAATTTGAAGTGAACGAGAAGTTAAATCTATATTGATTGAGACATAGTTTCAAATGAGTTTTTATTTTTGAATTGGGCGAGGATGACTGTTTATGTAGTGTATTTTTCTAATATTTCTCATCCACGTTATTCAGTACCTGATCGAAAATCATCATGAGTACAATGATTCCTATCTATTTTAGAATCAATATTTATTTCTTATAATTCAGTAAATAAGAATAATTAAATGTGAGTGTGTAGTAGATATGCGATCAGGACAATATCAGTGTTGTAAATAGTATTTGACTTTGAACTCAATCTCTATTTTAGGATTGATATATTACAATTGAAAACAAATGTTTAAAACTGCTCCAAGACTAATGGATGTGAGTGAAAAACAGTGGCAAACTCATATCCATAGATTGATGACAGTAAAGAATGATTTTATTAACTAATTTATCTACAGAATAATATAAAAAAAAATATTTAATTTATCCGAGACTACTTGATAAATCTTGTAAATTGATTAAATCCGATATTTTTAATCCTTCAGGTACATGACCACCATTGGGTGTGACCAATCGAAAAAGACAAGCATCCGTAATAACTGTTGCTTTACCACTGATAGTAAAATCTGGTTCAACTTGTAAATATTTATCATGTCGAAGATTTTTAATAGCAATATAATCATTAGTTGAATGTTGTTCAAAACTAAATATTTCCCAATTACTAGCTTCAGGACCACGAACTTTGAGTTTATCTTGCATTGTAAAATGTCTGTTTAGTTCTGTATTACGTATCGTACGTCCTAAATCTTTTGTAGCCCAACCTAAACCCCATGTTTCTCGATAACTCGGATTAATTATTGATGCATTAGCATAGACTATTTGAGTAATAGGATCAAAAGTAATATATCGACCAGTTAATTTTGATTGAATATGAAAAGTACCCGTATTATCCATTGATTTAGGATTACTACCTTCTGAACATATAACAGGATTTGAATAAGTAATTGGATTACAACCAGGTAATCGTTTAATAGGTTCAACCATTCCAATATTCTCAGTTAATGGAATAGATTTAGTTAATTCACAATTCGAATCAACAGATGATTTAACAAATGGTTTTAAAGTTAAACAACGTTCAGGATTATTACCTTGATTAGTACTACTTGCAAAACATGATTTATCTGAAAGCATATTTTTCATTATATCAAAATCCCATCCATTAACCTTTGAATGAAATAAGAGGAAATTTATTTAATTTTCAAATAAAAACTTACAAAATCTCCATGAAAACCATAACCAGTTGGATCACCATTTGCTAGAACAAATGGTTGTCGACCTGTTCCATGAGGAAATTTATCGATACTATAAAAAGCTTCAAAGAAAATTCCAGGTAAACGAACAGGGTGAGTATCTGGACAATCTCCTGTATTATATTGAGTTGGATATGCCATATGAGATCGATGATTCGGTGAATCTAAATTCTTTCCATCCCAACACATTGGAAAGAAAACTTGCATTCAAAAACCATTTTTACAAAAATGTTTATCCGTTTGAAAACCATTTGTTTGAGGAGCCTTAGGCATACCTGATTCTGTCAAACTATTTTATTATAATAAAGAATGAATTCATGATAGAATAAACATTCGAACTTACCAAACGAAACTTATGGCATTGTGTGTAACATTTGATTTATCATATGTTCGTCTCCAAGGATCACCAGCAATCATACGAAGACCTTTAGGAAATGGTTGCCAATTTGGATTCAAATATTGAGCACCACCAACATTACCAGTTCGAGCAATATAATAAACAGTGAGACCACCATCAGGTACCAAAGAAAATGTTCCATTAGGCCATTGATAATATCTAAACAATTCTCAACATACAAATATTGAACAAAATGGTTTTCTTACAATTCTGGATGCCAATAATTACTATTATCAATAGTATGAATAGAGCATGTTGTACATTCAGCCGCTTTTGTTATTTCATACAAATCAAGATAGGATTGACCTTTAACTCCAGCACTAAAATGACTACCACCCATTACTTTATGTACATGACCAGCTGGTTCACCGGGAGTAACGATTGAATCAAGACGACCACGATAGACAGGTCTTCCACTACAAAATACCTTCCACATTGGATAGGACTCTTGTTGACCTAAGGAAAGATAAATTTAAATAATTACTTCTCATATGAAATTTCAATATATATGTTACCGAAACAAATGGTCATTGATAAACAAAATAAGAACAAACTAATCGTAATTTTCGAAGTCATCTTCGAATTGTTTTATGAAAAAAAAGATTGTTTTTCTCTCTTTATATATACTCTTGTGTTTTATCACGCCCATTGTCTATAATTGAAACAGGTGTTATTGTTCCCTTGTTTTGTATTTAACGTACTATGTAATATTAGATTTCTAAAAATAAATCAACCTTAGATACGCTTTTATTTGAATAAACTAAAATAAATTGAATAAAAGTATCGTTATTAATATCAAATGTTTATTCATCAAATTTTTTTATCGTCCTAGAAGTATACGAAGTGTTTATGTAAAAACAAAACAATTATTTTGAGTTTCTAAAAATACCCATCTATATATAATATTGATGGGAATATTTATCACCTTTGATTTTATTTCTGATCATCCATTTTAAACGGAACTATCGCACATGGAGTGTTTGTATGAAAACTTAGTAGATATCTTGAAGGTGTGGATGTATGCTACTTATGCTTATAACAACACTCACACCTTCACTCCCACATGATGAATGTGTATGTGGATAAGGATAGAAATTAAATAAAAGAGTCACACTTCATTAGATGCATCATTAACTGAAACGATTAATAGAGACAATTATATTTATTAAGATTGACAAAAAAATATGAAAAAAGTATTTTTTATCGTATTCACATAGAAATAAATTTTTAATGTTTTGTTTTTTCATTTTTAATAATTGTCCCAGCGGTTTTTATGCTTGATGTACAAAATAAGACCTGCAATGACAGTGACAACAATTAGACCACTTCCTACTAGAAGACAAATAAAGGCAGGTTTTGATTCAGGTCTATCCCACCGAACAGTTTTTTCACTTGTTTGTTTGTGATAGTAACAAGTATGTTTCGAGCCGTTCTGTAAGAACAAATAATATATATATATATATGTATAGCATGAATGAAAACTTTTAGTTGATATTACTTACAGGATGCGTCATGAGTTTATTCAATGCGTAATGGTATTTGTCATAATTTGATCCTGTGATTCGAGCTATGGTTTGGTTACTGCTCATTATAATTCTGTCATCATTGTATTCAACAGTCCATACAGGTGCATAACGGGTAGGTTTATCAAATGGGTGTGGAATTACTTCCGCATCGATTACCTGGCATGAACTCTCGACGAGATTAATTTCTTTGGGACGATTTATACCAAATATAATACCACCTGTTATTGCCATAACCAAACCAATAAATCCGAGAGTAGATACAAGACAGATTACCCATCCTTTCATAGTCGGTATGATTCTGTTTTAGTCAAAAAGAAAAAAAAATTCTGTGATTAATATTTATATACTCATAATTACTTACATATTATTCTCAAATTTTGTATTTAAAACGTGAAATAATGTGACAAACACCTTCAAGAAATATCTATTTTATCAAAAGAATCTTATATATTTAAATATGAATAATCTATGAATAATACACAGTGAAATTTTATTTGCTTTTAGATAAAAATGAGTCATTGGAAAGGAAGAAAAGTAAAGATACTCACTGTTTGCTTATTGTTTGTTGGAAAATACCATATTAAAGATGACGATCTAAGAAGATATGTTGGAAAGAGAGAGATTGAGCGAATAATAAAAAGAATATCTACATCTTTATTTCGTTATTACTACGACTTTGATTTTTATTTATACTACCTCGCTGATGAATAGATTTGTATAAAAAAAGAAAGCTTATTTGATTTTCTTTGCAGTAATTTCATTTATTTAGAGTGAACCAGAAGTTAAACCTATAATGATTAGAAGATAGTATCAAATGATTTTTTATTTTTAGATTGAATGAGGGTGACTGTTAATAGAGTGTATTTTTCTAATACCTCTCATCCATATTATTTAGTACCTGATCGAAAACCATGATGAGAAGAATAATTCCTATCTATTTTATCATCAATATTTATTTCTTATAATTAAGTGAATAAAAATAATTGAATAAAATGTTATTAATAAATGGCAGCTATATTTATATGTAAGAGTGTGGATGTGAATATTATAATAATGATACACCCATACCCACATTCGGTAGTTTTAAAGTTAAAAATGATCTTGTTAAATAATTCTAAACTTAAATTAAAATTATCACAAGTTAAAGACATTTACGAAGAAATTTGAATATTATTTAAATATATTGATAACTGTTTTTTGTTTCGTTCTTCTTAAATCTGATATGGTTTATTAACAGAATAATAAACATGTATTTGAGATAGGTCTTTTTTTATTATCGACAAAACAAATGTGATGATGACAGTGTTGAAAAATTAGAGAGCGAAGGTGTAGGTAAATAAAAGATTGATATTCATGTCATCACTCTCACTCTTACGTAATCAAATACAATACTCATACTGATTTTTATTTTTCAATTAAATTAAAATTTCAATTCCATTATTCATTATATTATAGAGATCATAGCATCTACAAATATTTAAAAAAAATAATTATTATTGAGAAAAGTACATCCAAGTTGAAAAGTAAAATGAATATTTAATTTTTTTTGTCTAATAATAATAATAATAATAATAGTTGATTTAACTAGATTTAGTTAAATTAAATATTCCGTTTATCAAAAAAATTTCATTATTCATTCTGAAAATTTTTGAAATGAGATTATTTCGAGAATATTTGAGTCTCTTAATTTTTATTATGTTTATGCAAGATGAATGCAAATGTAGATAAGGAGAGAAATCAAATAAAAGAATCATACCTCACATTAGATATATTGTTAACTGAAACGAATAATAGAAACAATTATATTTATTAATATTGACAAGAAAATCAGAAAAAAAGTATTTTGTATAATATTCACACAAAAGTAACATTTTAATATTCTTTTTTTTAATTTTTAATGACTATTTCAATGGCTTCGAGACTTGATGTACATAATAATACATGCAATGACAGTGACAACAATTAGACCACTTCCTACTAGAAGACAAATAAAGCCAGGTTTTGTATTAGGTTTGTCCCACCGAGCAGTTTTTTCACTTGCTTGTTTGTGATGATAACAGGTGTGTTTAGAATCGATCTGTACGAACAAATAATGATAATATATATCCATAGGATGAATAAACATTTTCATTTAATAATACTTACAGGATGCATCTCTAGTTCATTCAATGCTTTAGCATATTTTGATGAATTCGATCCTGTGATCCGAGCAATAGTTTGATTACTACGCTTTATAATTATGTTATCATTGTATTCAACAGTCCATACAGGTGCATAACACATAGATTCACCACATCCGTGTAGAATTGCTTCTGCATCGATTACCAAACATATATTCTCGACGAAATTCATTTCTTTATGACGTTGTACACCAAATACAATACTACCTGTTATTGCTATAATCATAGCACTGCATCCGAGAGTGGATACAAGACAGATTACCCATCCTTTCATAGTCGTTATGATTCTGTTTTAGTCAAAAAGAAAAAAAAATTCTGCGACTAATACTTATATACTCATAATTACTTGCATATTATTCTCAGATTTCGTATTTAAAACGTGAAATAATGTAACACACGCCTTCAAGAAATATCTATTTTTTCAAAAAAATCTTATATATATATATGAATAATCTATTAGTAATACACACATAATGAAATTTCATTTGCTTTTTGATAAGAAAGCATCATTGCAAAGAAAGAAAAGTAAAGATACTCAGTGCTCGCTTATTATTCATTGGAAAATACAATCTCGAAGATGAGAATCTAAGGAAGTATGTTGGAAACAGTGAGATTGAGAACATAATAAAAAAAACCTACATCTTTATTCCGTTGTTATTGCAGTTTTGATTTTTATTTATACTATCTCGCTGATGAAAAGATTTGTGTATAAAAAAAGGAAGTTTATTTTTGTTTTCTTGTCAATAAATTCAATTTCTTAAAGTAAACGAGAAGTTAACTCTATATTGATTGGGGCATAGTCTCAAATGAGTTTTTATTCTTAAGTTGGGCGAGAGTGACTGTTTATATAGTAAATTTTTCTAATATCTCTCATCTACATTCTTCAGTATCTGATCAAAAACCATTATGAATACAATTATTACTATCTATTTTATAATGGATGGGTCTGAGTGTGGATATTATATTGATCATACATTCACACCCACACTCAAGATGAAGAAATTTAAATATTACTTAAATATATTAATAATTGTCTTTTGAGATTTAATATGGTTTATTAATAGGATAGTAATCATATATTCAAAAGAGGTTTTCTTTTGTCATCGATAAAACAAGTGTGATGATGACAGCGTTGAAAAATTAGAGAACGAAAATGTAGATAAATAAAAGATTCATATTCATATCAACAACAAAAGCACGTTGTTTGCATAGAATAGTGAAAAAAGAAAAATTTTATCTCTCTATAATAATATAATATGAATAACAAATGTTGAAACTGAATATATATAATATTTACTTGATTTTATTTGAGAAAAGATTGTTGTTACAATAATGTGTTGGTTAAAGAGTTTTATAAGTCTTTCAGTTGTTCTAAATACATTAATTGTTGCTGATAATCCATGTCGATTTGAACATTCAAAAGGTATTATT